TAACAGCAGCAGGTAACCATCTCCTTGCCCTAAGGCTGCAGCCAATTTGTTAGTCTGTAGTGATATATTATTTATGATTTATTAAAGCTTGGCTGAGAATTCGGACATGGCAAAGTTAGCCACAAGCCATAGAAGCCAGGCACACACCTTCAATCCCAGCATCCAGAAGCTAGGAGGTGGTGATACACACCATTAATCCTAGGACTCAGGATTAAGAGGTAGATGGATCTCTGTGAGTCCAACGCCACCCAGATCTACACAAGAGTGAATCAGTCTAAAAGAGAATTATAGCTCACATCTTTAATCCTAACATTAGGGAAGTATATAAGACAGAAGCAAGGTCTCAGAGGGGCATCCATTCTCCAGCCACACTGAGGAGAGGCAGGGGTCCGAGAGTTGGTGAAGAGCTCACAAGTGGATCAGCCCTTTCAGCCTGGGCTAGAGGTGAGAGCTAGTGGCTGTTTGCCTTGCTTCCCTGGTCTTCAGCTTGAACCCCAATATCTGTCTCTGAGTCTTCTATTTTTCATGTTACATTAATCCATTTCATATATAAGACTCGGGCCTTACTTTTTCTAGAGCTACTAGGTCTCCTGATGAGAAAGGCAGACGTGTTTGACTTGCTAAGAGGTTTCATATTAAAGGATAAACGGGTTTCAGATGTGATTTTTACTATTTATTTAAAGGAACTTGCTTTGCCGTAACTATTCTTGATAATAATTACTCATGTTGCTGACAAATAATTAGACAGAAAGGAGAAGGGTTGAAGTCTGTGCAAGTTCTGAGGGTATGAGAAAATGATTTAAGGTTTGTGAAAGACAGGGAATGTTTCAGATCTCCCCCCCCCCCGTGCTGTTGTTATACTGAGATACCTTACAAACACCTGTTAGCTACTTTTTCTACACCTGTTAGTTACATTTTCTACAGCATGATTTTTAGTACAGATTACAAACAATAGTAATGCTAGTATATCTAAAGCTTTTATCTCTTTTTGTACACTAAAAACCTGGACATGTAATCTTCAAGGAATTGAGGGAGTCATAAAACTTTGACCTACCTCTCACAAGTCAAATGGACTCCAGATAAGTACTCCACCTCCATATTGCTGAGGGAGGGCTCTCTCTCTCTCTCTCTCTCTCTCTCTCTCTCTCTCTCTCTCTCTCTCTCTCTCTCTCTCTCTCTCTCTCTCTCTCCCCCCCCTTTGCCTTGGGCTCCTCCCCTCCCTCAGCGACCATGATAATGGCCCTGTGGGTTCCAAATAGAAGATTTTTTTTCTGTTAAGTCTAAACCTTAATTTCTGTCCCTATTATAAGGATTCAGGCATTTTGCTGACCCCGCCCCCTGACAACTGATAAGGTACAAACATCTGCATTCAGGCAAATACTTAGACAACTCAAAGGGCCCTGTGCTGGGTGGCTACATCATGCATTACGTGACTGCATAAGGATTCTGTACGCATGTGCAAGCTTTTTCTTTTAAGCAAGCACCTCCCACCTGTTCGCCACTTCTTCGCTTCCTTCTCTCCCTTTTTCCTCCTCCTTCTCCCTTCCCCCCCCCCCCTTTCCCTTCTATCTCTGTTCCGGGTTAGCCACACCTACCCCTCCCTGTGCTCTCTTCCCCCAGTAAATTCCACGTGGGCTTTATTGAGTTTTGTGGTTCGTGTTTCATTGCCCACAGCTGCAGCAAAACAGCAACACCTAGTCTATGTCTGCTCGGCAGATTGCCTCTTGGCTGACACACACCATCTAGAAACCAACTGCAGACTCTGAACTTGCTGAAAGCTGATGTGAACCAGTCCATGGGGGACATAATTGTTCCCTGTATCTTCAGCTGGGGCAGCTAACAAGATGCTTCTGATGAATACTTCATTGCCTGAGTCCCCTCCAAGATTTTGACTAGAATTCCAGCCTCCCTGGGCCCTGACAATGATGTCCTAATTTCAATAGGAAGTAGTTAAAGAGACTACATCACCCCATATCCTCAACAGACAGAACTATTAGGTCAAAAGGAAACTGCCTGGCATAGGGGACAAAAAAGTTACCTATAGTGTCTATTGGAATACTAGGAAATGTACCTGTATTCCAGTACCTGTTAAAGTCAAATAGGCACAATCTATCAACAGGTAGATTCATTTGTTGAAATAGTTCTACAGTACGATAGGGCATTTGATTGTTCTATACAGAACGAGAAGGTATAATATGGTTTTAAGAGACAATTGTTATTTTGTACAAATCATTCAGGAATCATTAGAGATAATCTGGCTTCACTTGAAAGAAAAAAGTAATGAGAACATTCAAGTTCCAACTTCAATGCTCTCTTGGGGTCCAGCCTAGGGGCTAGACAGCAGGCAGGTAGGGTTTTTCTAAAAGTAGTCTAAGGATCAGAGAGAAATAAATGAGCTCACACAGGTATTCTTCTCATGGCTCTTTATTCTTCAAGAAAATGTTGTTCCCAAAAAGTTCTCTCAAAAACTCTCTTTAAGATTCCTCTCTAAATGTTCTCCTTACAAAGTCTCTAAAGTTCTTTCTTTCTTTTTTGAGCTTAAATGAGGAGTTTATTTAGAAAGGGAAGTGAGGGGGAGGAGAGAGAGAGAGAGAGAGAGAGAGAGAGAGAGAGAGAGAGAGAGAGAGAAGAGCTGGAAGGTAAAAGAGCAAAAGAGAGAGCAAAGGAGCTCTAAAGTTCTTTCTAAAAAGTCTCCAAAAGTTTCTTCTTCTAAAAATTCTCCTGAGATCTTTTTTATCCCACAAGGCTTCTATTTTTATATCCATGGGTACATTTAAAAACTCTCTGACAATAGGGCATGTATATCTCTCAGAGCCAGGAAGGCAGGTAAGATCTTGAGAAAAGGAGGTGACCCATATCTACCCCCTGGACCTGACTTGCAAAATGTTCTGGCAAACTTAAGTCTCAAGGGGGACATAACTTGCAAACTCAGCTGTTAGCTGATTAAAGGGGGCTTCTCAGTGCTGTGTCAAAGGGAAAAAAAAACTAAGGCTGTGTAGTGTGAGATCTGGAGGCTGCTGATGCCTTGGTGAGAAAGAATTCCTTTCTCTGGGAACTATTTGAGAATACAAAGTACCCAGTATATATTCTATATACAACCAAATTCTTAGTAACATAAATTCTGGAGTTGATACCTAGAATATTAATTGGTACTTCTGTAATAAATAATAAAGGATTGAAGCAAAGAAAGAGAAAGGAAGGAAGGAAAGAAAGAAGGAAGGAAGAAAGTAAGGAAAGAAGGAAGCAAATAAATGAATAAAGAAAGAAAATAAACATTGGGAAAAGGGCAACAAATGTAATAAGGTTAAGGGCCAAAGATTCTGTAAGAGAAGAAGTGAATAAAGCTTAGTGTGACATAAGTAGAGACTTGGAAGTAGGGGGACAATGAGACAAAGCCACAGAATGAGGAGGCTTGGAAAACAGAAAGTCCCTAGGTGATAAACAGAGGCAGCATACTCTGATGTGAAGTTTAGAGTAGCTCTACTGAGAGAGGATGTCATGGTATGTCTCAGAGCCATCCTTCACTGAGAAAGAATGTCTCCAGTTCTGAGAGAGAATGTGATGGCATGTCTCAAAGCCATTCAACACTGAGAGTGGATATCATGGCATGTCTCAGAGTCATCCAGTTCTGAGAGAGAATGTCATGGTATGTCTCAGGGCCATTCAACACTGAGAGAGGATGTCATAGTATGTCTCAGTCAGTGCCATCCAATACTGAAAATGGATTTGGCAAACAAAACATAAGTGAGCAAAGAAGGCTTTCTTTGAAACTCAGAACAATAAACTGGGTACAAAGATAATACAGATAAACCAAAAGTAATCCAACTTGTAAGACTTAAGGGAAGCTTGGAATACCGAGGGAGAGAGGAGGACAGGGTCATAGTGGACTCCAAGATCTCAACTAGAGTAGGCAGTCTTCCCAAATCTACTGGGTCAGTAACTATAGTAACATGGAAGACTGACAGCCCGCAAGATACCATATAGAGATGTCTGATGCACAAACATTTAGTAAGGCCCAGTCTGTAAATGAGGGTTTGGAGATAATAAACTTATGACATTATGAAGGGGGTGAGTTCAATAATCGGTTGTGTATATTAGTGAATTCAGGCAAAACTCTGCAGGTTCTCCATTTTTAGAAGAGCAGAGGAGAAACTCCACAAAGGAAGGGCTACAAGGGCAGACAGATGTGTGCCATAGACACCAGACTAATTTTTCAAGGTGAAAGGATTGGTTAATACCAAGCAGAGCTGCTAAGAACTCCAAAAATCTAGAGTCATCATTGAACTTGCCTGGAAGTCGGCTACTGGTGGCGTGGTGAGAACATTTACTGAAGCAGGTAAAGCGGAAACCAGATTTTAAAGGAATTTGAAAAAGGAGGTAGGAAGTAGAAAACAGGCACTGAAAAAAATCAGGAAGTTTTTTCTCAAAAGAGGTGGGAAAATCTGAACAGAAACCAGAAGCTACATGCAGAAGACACACACACACACACACACACACACAGAGAGAGAGAGAGAGAGAGAGAGAGAGAGAGAGAGAGAGAGAGAGAGAGAGATGGCTTTATTCATAGTAAGTCCAGGAAGAGTAACAAGCGGCCAGCTGTGCATACTAAGTGGTAATAAGTTCCAGAAGTCATCTAAAGGTCTCCTTTATTCTTAAAGTCAAATGGGATATTTTGCAAACAGTGAGTAGATTGGAGAAAGGTTTTCTCTTGAGTAACCACTGTCAAGAATGATGATGAGATCTTGGGTCAGCTCAGGGAGGAGATGACCTCAGCTCAGCTTAAACTCACTAGGTATTAACATTTGTGGACACATATTTACCCATTATTGAAATCACCATATACTCCAGAGACAAAGGCAAGAAGATACCTGTAAGTTTGAAGCCAGTCTGGTCTACATGAGTTCTAGAACAGCCAAGGCTACATAGGGAGACCTTGTCTGGGGAAAAAATACCAATCTCCATAGCAGCTGATTCTTTTTTAGAGAAATAGCTATGATCATTCAAACACTGTCCTCTGTAGATGAATCTTGACAAATCCAGTGATTGTCGATGAAACACCTTTCAGGAAAAAAAAAAAAAAAAAAAAAAAAAAAAACACCTTTCCTTGTTATCAGGGCACAGGCATTGTCTTCAAACTGGCCAGTAACTTGAAATCTGCAGAGGCAAAGGCTGTACATTAGTGACTCCCAAGAGGACTGGGCTCCACTCCAGATATCCACCCTGTGCCACGCCTATAGGTTATTTTGTGTTTTCCTTCTTCTATGAGGTAGAGCCTTCAGATATTACTATGTTCAGATATGGAATGAGCTTTTCAAAACCAGAGCCAGGAAGCCTGGAGTGCTGAGAAGCAAAACAGAAGTAATAAGACAGACCCTGCTTCAACATAGGAGAAACAACTCCTAATGGTTGTCCTTTCACATGATCACTGTGGCACACATGCATGCATGTGCCCCCACACACACAAGTAAATACATATTTTGCAAATAAAAAGTAAATCAAATTATGAACCTGTTCATCTTCCAGACCCAAATCCCAAATGTCACAGATTCAAAATACCTTCCCTCGTTGCTATGAAAAAGAAAATCCTTCATCATCATCATCATCATAATAATAACAATAACTCAAACATGCCTATTATTTGGTATCTTGTGACCATGTTGAAGACAGAAATATCAACTGTAGTCAGGACTGGGAGCAGAGTTAAGTGAAGAAATTTTCACCATACCTTTGTTCCACAGCGTTCAGACCAATATGTTCTGTCTTAGATAAACAAGTGACAACACAATTTCATGGCCATGGTAGCTAATCTTGACCATCACCTGGTAAGAGGGAACCTCAACTGAAGAGTTACCTCCAGCAGAATGACCCATGGCCCTATTCCTGGATCATTTTTCCTGATTGTTAATTGATGGAAGAGGGCCTAGCCCACTGTGAGTGGTGCCATCCTTGGGCAGGTGGTCCTGGGGTGTACAAGAAAGGTGGCTGAGTAAGTCATGGAGAACAAGCAGTAAGTGCATTTCCTCCATGGCCTCTACTTCAGTTCCTTTCTCCAAATTCCTGCCCTGCTGGATTGAACTCCTCCCTTGACTTCTCTCACTGATGGATTTGGTCCTTAAAGTGTAAGACAAATAAACCCTTTCCTCCCCAAGTTTCTTTTGGTCATAATGTCTATCACTGCAAAAGAATGCAAACTAGGATATGTTAATTATAATTCCATTTCTAACTTCTGTGTTATTAAATTAATCAGAGAAGTCTAAATAGGAGCATACGGTATGTTAGTAGCCTCCGGTTCTCTTAGACAAATGCTATGAACCTTGATATATTAACAGGTATCAAACTCTCCCATCCTGCAATCACCTGACCACTTGAAGCTCCTGAGAGATATCAGTAGAGGTGGTCTTGGGAGGTCTCCCATACCCCCAGTGTTATACAAACACCAAGCAAACACTCACAGCCATGGCTGTAACGGTGTGCCATCCAGCCAGGTCCGTGTTTCTGTGTGTCTGTAATATTCAGTCCAATCCAAAAGTAAACACCATCATGTATTTTACTCTGGATGAAATCCTGAGGAAAAAAAAAAAGAGCCAGAGGAAATCATCTGGATGTCAGCTATGAAGGCAGACACTTCTGCCTTCTTCTGTCCAAACCTAAAAAGATTCTGATGCTCATATTTCCATCCAGGAATGCTGTAAGAAGTCTTCTATATAGTTAGGAAAAGAAACCATATGGGGAGGTTTATCAACTGTGTGACTCTCATATGCATTCTATTTGATGGAACTGTGGAAAATACAAATAGCAGACTATGAAAGGGTACAGAGACCAAAGCAAGAAGAATGAAACTGCTTAAAGGTGACAGATACGCAGAGTTTGGATGGGTGTAGAGACAGGCAAGTCAAGACTAAACATCTGTTCTAACTAAAATATCCTCCTATACCAAGGTTCTAGACATACTGCCAGGCATCGGCAATGTTTTACATTTTACTTACTTGGTTATAAGTTTTTGAGACAGGGTCTCACTGCGTAGTTAGGGCTAGCATCAAACTCACCTATTTCAATCCTCTTGTGCAGTCCAGTGAGCATGCCCATAGCTGGGAATGTTTTGATGGGTCCTTCGAACTCCTCTCTTCCTCCATACAGGAGCCCAATATTGATAGTTAATTATCCTAAGAACTAACTTACCTGTAGAGTAACTTAGCCAATTTAAGCCCCTGGAGAAATGGTGTAATACCCCTGTTACTATAGGGAAAATTCACTATCACAAGTTTCATCTTAGAGCTAATTAAGATGATAGTTCTAAATTGCTTTGCACAGTGCCTAGCACATGATTGCCATTCAACAAATGACAGTAACTAACAGTGAAATGACTATGGTATCATGAAATGTACCCACATCTCCTGGTTTAGTTTCATGAGATTAGCTCTTACCAATTCTGCTTTGTTTTCGATCACTATGAGATGTGATTTCTTTACTACACAGGATATTTCACTATCAATCCATGACTTAAAGTTCATGTAAAATTTGTAACATTTCCCTTGTTTCTGGAACCAGTTATCAGGACATGACTTTCCTAGGAACAAGAAAGAAGTTTTAAGACCAGAAGAAATTGTTGTGTTGCCTTTAAACTTTAAAAGTTAACAACAGCAACAAGAACAACAAAAATTGGGTCTGCAAAAGTATCTCGGTGGTTAAGAGCACTTGCCTCTTTTGCAGAGGACTCAGATGCAAGACCCACTACACATGAGGCAGCTGTAACTCCAGTTCCAGGAATCCAATGCCCTTTTTTATGGGCTGTGTTGTGAGAACCTGCAAGCAACTTAGATGTCTCTCAACTGAAGAATGGATAAAGAAGACCTGGTACATTTACACAATGGAATGGACAGGACGGGACGGACCGGGACTGGACCAGACCTTGAAATTTGTAGGCAAAGGGATGGAACCTCATTCTAAGTGAGGTAACCCAGTCACAAAAAGAGGAACATGGTATGTACTCACTCATATAAAGATTTTAGACATAGAACAAAGGATCACCAGCCTATAATTCACACCGCCAGAGGAGCTAGGATACAAGAAGGACCCTAAGAGATTCATACAAGGTCCCCCACAGAAGGGGAAAGGGACAAGAATTCCTGAGCATATTGGGGGGGGGGTGAGTGGGAGTAGAGAGTGGAGAGGGAGTTAGGAAAAAGAGAAGGGGAGAAGAGGAGGGGTAAAGAGAACATGAGGGACCAGGAGGATTGAATCGGGGGACAAATAGACAAAAGCAAGAAAAGAGATACCATAATAGAGGGAGCCATTATAGGTTTGAAGAGAAAACTGATGCTAGAAAAATGTACAGAGACCTAGAAGGATGACCCCAACTGACAATCTGAGCAATGGTGGAAAGGCTACCTTAAATGCCCTTCCCTGATAATGAGATTGATAACTAACTTATATGCCATCCTAGAGCCTTACAAAAAAATCTTAAGACAGGTATAAAGGTATTACCTTCAGATTCCTCATTGTGTAAATAAAGACAGTAAAATTAAACTTAATAAAAACACAGAGAAACTGAAGTTTAAATAACCAACTCAGGGTCGTACAACTGATTAGTAGTGGGCAAAGTGAAAATTAAAGCAACAGCCACACATCCAAGCAGACTGCAGAAGAAATCAACAGTGTCCTCCGAGGCACACAAGGATAAATTCTCCACAACTCATGTGCTCTGTCTCAAACCCAGCTGTTCTAAAACAGGGACCAGAGGATGAAGGGAATCCTCTACCATTATCAAGATATCACAAATTCACCTAAAGAAATCTCTATATACTTACCGACCATGAGTGTGTGCGTGTGTGCGTGCCTGCGTGTGTGTTTGAATGCACAAATAATACACAGCCCATATATGGAGGAATCAATTCTCTCTTTCACCGTGTGGGTCCCAGGAACAAAACTCAGGCTGTCAGGATAAGTGACTGGCACCTTGCCTGCTGAGCCACATGGCCAGCCAGGAAGAACAATTTTTAAAAGTAGCATTCATTAAAAAAAAAAAAAAAAATTTAAACTCTTTACAATAGATAATCACAGACTATGAGGGTATTGCTCTAAGGGTGTTTTAAAAGAGACACATGGAGTCCCAATAAAAAGTGTTGTGTTGTGTGACATTTTGTTTGTGTTCTGAAAAATAAAGCTTGCTTGGAGTCAGAGGGTGGAGCTAGCCACGAGGTAACCTTAGAGGTTTGGAGGACTGTAGACATAGAGAAAAGTAGTAAGGCTGGCAGAGGGAGGATCTTGGCCCTTTTGGAGGGAGGAACAGAAGAGATAAGAAGGCACCAGTGGCTTCTTCTTGGCTTCTCTGATCATTCAGGTTTTTACCCTGGTATCTGACTCCCAATTTTTTCATTGATAAAGATAAACACTCTGGTTTTTTTCAAATTTCAAAATTCTCTTTCATACACTGCAAGAACATTGTAAAATAATTTAGCCTCAGATGCCACTAGATTTATCTCCTTGAAAAGGAAAAAGGTAAGTATTAAAATAAACCAATATTCAGAAATTAGTTATTTTTATCTAAGTATTGAATATTTTCAAATGTTCACAAATATTTTTTTAAATTGATACATATCAAAGAGGATTAATGTGAAAGTAGAATCTACCAAATATTTTTGAAAACAAGTGCTACACAAAAGTTAGCTATTGAGGCTGGGAAGTTTTTCCATAAAAAAATGCAGAAATGTATTTGTTTGTGTTGTTTTTGTTTTTGAGACAAGATCTCCCTGTGTACCTCAGGCTGGCATAGGACATTTGATGATCCTCCTGCCTCAGCCTCCTGAGTGATGAAGAAATCTGGAACTGTCATAAAGGGCTTTGGGGGGGGGGCAGCAACATGTCTCAGAGGGTAAGAGTGCCTGCCACCAAGTCCTTCAATCTGAAAAAACAAAACCCAACAATCCCCACAGGTTGCATTTGGTCCTCAACAAGTACTCCTTGGCACACACGCATCCACACACACACACACACACACACACACACACACATACTTTTTTAAAATTAAGGTAAAAATAAGGGATTTTTTTCTCCCTTCCCTGACCTTAGGAATCTAGGTGAGGAAGTCCGTGAGCTAGCATCTCCTTTTGTTAGCTCCCATATGCATTCTAATAACTTTTCTTTCATGAATCTGTGGTTTGTCAGTTTAATGTGCTTTGCCCAAAAAGCCAAGGCTGAATGGATAGGGGACAGATTTCCCTTCCTAAAGCATAGTAACATAAATCACTTACCCATGGATATTTTGTCCTGTTGTTTCTCGGGAGGAATATCCATACAGCCACAATATCTGGTTTCATTATTACCAAGTATCCTGTCATTAGGTTTATCAGTTAAGGAATACCTGCTCTGATGACTTACTGAGAAGTAAAAAATTGTAACACTAATTATATTTCTACAATACAAGCCCGCACCCCTTTGTTTTAGTAAAATTGCTACTGGATACACAAACTGCTCTTCAAGAAAGGGTTCTGAACAATAATATCTCCACCTTTTACATTTACAAAGGACATGTAAATTTAGAGATGAGGAAGTTTTTCCCTACCAAGAGTCATATAGAGACACAAAATAATATTATCAAATCAAACTAAAATAGATAAAAACTTTTCTTTATCCATATTAAAGATTAAGAACATTAAATTTCCTTTATGTTTATTAAAATTTCCTAATGTGATAGATTGGAATTGTATGTGAGCTTCAGCTAGTTATAGGATCATTACACCGCTTAGTGCCACAAAAAAAAAAAAAAAAAAAAAAAAAAAAAAAAAAAAAGTACTTAACACACTATAGGGTTCTCTGGAGACTTAAACATAATCATATAATTACTCATTTGTCCCAATTCTTAACAAATCAGCCTGTAAATCAGTCATTTTATCAATCACAATTCCTAACAAGTCAGCTGTTAATCACTGGTGTATCACAGTTCCTAACAAGTCAACTGCTAATCGCTGGTTTATCACAGTTCCTACAAGCAGGATCTGCCAATGGGGTAACAACAAAATGCAATTGTGTATTTTTATTTGTGTGCTCTTGACTTTAGCCATGGGCCTTAAATTTAACTTGGACCTAACTTTTCAACCAGCTTATAAGTTTTGTTCCAAGTTTCAAAACATCTAATTTTGTAATATACTTAAAGAATAAGGCCAGCTTCCATAAAGCTTGAGTTCTCTCCTAGAAGAATTATGACCAAATCCCCATCCTTGCCAATTAGTTAAAATTAAGGTAGGATAGATTTTCAAACTGACATATGCATAGGGCATCCTTAGTGATCACAGTGGGATCATTTCATGTCTGCAGGAGTAAGATAATGACAGAAACCCACATAGGCAACATGCAAAGTGATTCTGTAACCAGAGAAAGCCAAGGAAACTCCTCAGGAAATACTGTCTCCATATCTGTGCAGGTAGCTGTGAATGCACTCACCATGGATGGCGAGTCCTATCACTGTGGCCACCAAGAAAACCAGTGCAAAGCTGGCCAGTCTCACAGCTGTCCGATGCCATCTTGAACACTCGGGGTAATCTGCAATGATGAACTGTCCCTCTATAACATTAAAAAATTTTAAATGTACTTGTAAACGCCTCATACTATAAACTCCCGAGAGTACACACTGTCTTAAGGTAGGAAAGGAACCTATAATCTGTTAAGTGGTGAGGTAAATGGGTATGATGACTCACATCTCTAAATCCAGCATTCAGGAAGTTCAGGCACGAGCATTGCCAGGTGTTCATGGCCAGACTGGGATAACAGAGTGAGACTGTCTCAAGCAAACAAACAACAACAAAGAAGTTCCCACCCAAGGTTGTCTGAATACAAAGTTAATTGTCTTGGAAAATTGGATTTATTGAGTCTAAGAGATAAACATACTTTTTTTTTTTTTTTTTGCCCTCATTAAATAGCCTTCTTATGTTGATGGTGGGAAGTCATTCTTATGCTGTTGATATGTGTTTCATTTATTAGTTGAATAAAATCCTGGTTATCCAGGAGCCAGATGGGAAGTATGGGTGGGGCTACACCAGATAAGGAGAATTCTGGGAAGAGGACACAGGGAGGAGCCACCAGAGAGAGACGCCGTGTAGATATCTGGAAGATGGGACACGCCTGTCATTCTCTGGCAAGATAATGCCACGTAGAAAAACACAGATTAATAGTTACGGGTTATTAATTAATTAAGCTAGCCAATAAGAAGCCTGAGCCATCGGCCAAACAGTTTATAATTAATACAAGTCTCTGTGTGTTTATTTGGGGTTGATTGGCTGTGGCACCAGGTGGAACAGAATCTCCATCTACATTATGATGGCAATTTCTTAGCTTTTGTTTGCACAATGACTGAGTTACTCAGATAATATCAAAAGAAATTGAATTCCAGAACGAAACACACACATAATGCCAAGTAATTGAGAGAAAGTAAAACAAACAAACAAACAAAAAAATTGTCTGATGAGGTACATGAGCAAAACCTAATTTTAATCATCTTTTCAAAACAAAGTGCATCTGTATTTATTCATGAAACAAAACTTGATATAACTCCCTTAATCTGCAACTCAGGAAATATTACACTCACTCTAAGTGTATTTATAAATATATCTCATGTTCCAAGAATTGGGCTGCTATACAGTTACAGGAACAGGTAACTACACACCCTGGTAAGTAGGTAAATAGATGTAAATCGATCATTGCAAAATAGGTAGCAACTTTCTTAAGACTAAGCCAGTTTAATTTCTAACTATTAACACTGAAAGTAGAGTAAAAATTCTCACTAACTTTCTAGGCATCTAGCCAGTAATCCCATATAGGATTCTAGATTCCCACTTTTGTATGTCCACTTCTGTTGGCAGTGGTAGGAGTGTTTTCTAGGTATCTTTCCAGTTGCTCTTTCTGCGTGTTGCATCTGTCCAACCATCCTGTAAATCTGTAAATAGAACAATCCATTTCTGAGGAAACAGAGACATCATCTAACAAAAAAAAAGAAAGAAAGAAAGAAAGAAAGAAAGAAAGAAAGAAAGAAAGAAAGAGAAAGAAAAAACAAAAAAGGAAAGAAAAAGAAAGTGAAATTGTAGCAGTGAAACACAGCCAGCCTGTAAACCACAAAGGATATGGTCATGGTCAGTGGGAGGAATAAAAGGATCTGTGATTTAAATCACAGACTTTCTTTTATCACACATTTTGTAGTTGCAAAAAACTGCTGAAAGCTCTCAAGTAGCCAATGCTCAGCCTTCTTATCTTAGTCTCTTTCCTTATGGAGACAGACTGAGATGGAGAAAATAGAAAGGAAAAGCAGACATGTCATTTGTACGGTAAATGTGCCATAATTGATGATTCAATATTTATGATCATTGCTAACCAATTCCTTGTCCAGATGTCGCTTATACCCTGCATTTGAAGACCTAGGTGCCTACAACAAGGCACAGTGTTTATCCTTCCTGTCTCTTTGAGACATGCTTGGCTCTAACAGTTTCTTACTCCTTCCTCGTTTTTGACTATTTTGAAATTTTTGACAAATGCTGATAGCGTATTTTATAGAGCGTTCCCAATTTTTGAAATAGTCAGGTATTTTTCTCATGATTGCACTTAAGGTATAGAGAGTTTTGGATGAATATCAAAAGGGTGAATTGTCATTCTCACTATATCCTCGAGAGGGCGCCAATCGCCAGCATAAATATCGCTGTATCTATTGGCTAGGTAGTATTTTCAAGTGTGTTTACCACTTTTAACAGGCTGTTGCTTTATACAAACCTATTAAACTATCTTGCAGAGAAGCTGTTCCTTTCTCTACGGACACAGTGAATGATAAGCCCCAGTACATTGTCATTTGATTTCAAGAACTTTAACGTTAGCATTCTAATAGGCATCTGATGACATCTCAGTGTTGGCGTTATCTGCATTTCCCTACTGACAGATGATGCCAGACATGTTTACGTGCTAATTATTCTCCCATACATCGTCTTTGGTGAATCTCTTTGAACTATAGGCTCGGATCTTACTTGGGCTGTCTGTGTCTTTCCCTATCACGCAGTACTCAGAGTTCTTTGGATTTTTGAACACACATCGCTTCGTTGTTTGTAGTTTGAAAATTTCCAGTTTGCAGAAACGCAAATTCCCTTTATTCTTATTCATGGATTGAGTTTTAGGCATTCTATATAAAGCCTGTTTACCAAATTAAATTTATATAAATCATCACCTGTATCTTCTTCTGAGAGTTTTACAATTATCTATTTAGTTGTTTGTTTACAGATTAATTTTGTTTAAAGTACAGAAATTTAAAAGTTCTTTAAACTTTTTATACAATGTATGTTTTCTGACACCACTTATTCTACACAGGTCTGCGTACATGTTTGTGTGTGCATGAAAATGAGAGTGTACATAACAACCCTATTTGCTGTTGAAAGGCCTTGCGTTTTTCTCAAAAAAAAAAAAAAAAAAAAATGAATCCATTGCATTGATGTGGCTTTATTGGGGGAAGTATATTCTGTACTGTTTATTTATGAATCTGCTTGTCCTTTTTTGGCTTTTGTTTTATTATTTTGTTCTTTGAAACAGGATCTCACGTAGCAGAAATTAGCCTTGAACTATGTATACAGACAAGGTTTACCTTGACCAAGATCTGATCCTTCTTGCTTATGCAATTCAGTGAGAGCTATGCACAATGACTCTTCCATCAATTTGTTCTGTAGGACCATGCTTATTTTAATATGCTAGATTAGGGCCTTAAAATTGTTCTTTATGAATCCTCCAAAGCTTTTATTATTCATCAAAGTTGTGGTGATTTTTTGATTTTTCTAATTATTTCTATATATTTAAAATCAGTTTTCCAAAGTCCTTAGGATTTATTTGAGTTTGTAGACCTTGAACAAAATTAGGGAAGTCGACATCTTAACAAGAGTGAGTCTATCCATCCACAAGCATAGAACACCTCTGCATTTGTTGAACAATTTCATTTCTTTTGGAGTTTGTAGTTTCACACATTTAGATAATACATACATTCACATCTAAATTTTTAATGTTTTGGTGCTATTATAAATTGCACTGCTGAATGTTAAATTCGAGTTATTCGTTTTTAACATGCAGGAAACAATCTCTCAATGTTAGCCTTCAACCTTGCACATTTAGAGTTCTCCCTTCTACTTCTGTGAAGTTTTTAATCTTGGTTTTACAGATGGTCTACTTAGACAGCCATGTCATCTGCTAAAGAAACCACTTTCTAAATATTGATTGAATAAAAGAAAAAATAAGTTAACGTCCCCTTCCCTCCAACAATCCCATGATTAAAAAAAGAAAGAAAGAAATCCTCTGGTCCATTCTTTCTGAGTCTCTGTGCCTTTTGCTTTTTTGCTTTGTTCTCACATGAGTCCAGAATTTCCCTTTCTTCACAAAGAGCTTGGGATGCCAGTCTAGTGTGAAGGCTAGAATGGGTGGTCTTTGCTTCTGATTCTTGAAGAAGACATATTTTGTCTCTCACCTTGAAACCCAGTGTAAGCTGAAGGCTTAGACTGCAGATCCCTAGGAGTTCCATGCTAGCTTGTTTCACATAACAAGTTCCACAGTGAAACACTGGAAAAAGAAAGCCTTGGAAGGGTAGGGGGGACAACTCACTTACACAATATAGGGCAACACAAGCTTTCTATAGAAGCAATAATATTAATTCTGCTCCAAAGGAGGAGAAGAATACATAGATGCGAAATTGTGGACCAGAAGGAAAGACCTGGTGAGATCCATCTGTAATCCCAGGGTGGGAGGCTGAGACAAGAGGGTGCTCAGTTCAAAGCAGAGTAGCAATACTTTGTCTCAAAAACAAACAAAATTGTTAAGTAATGGCATACAACAGTCGACAGTCGCTCTATACCCCAAATTCTAAACACATTTGGCTCTGTTAATTGAGAGCCCTGCTCAGATTTCTAAACTGCTTCCTACATCAAAGAAAGGCAGCATGGTGAGGTGAGGCAGCCTCAGCCAGGTTCTTGTGAGCAGCGTCAGCGTGGCATTTCTTAGACACACTGTGAAGGCTGTGGTTTACCTAGACTCTTATCATCCATTTCCCGTGTCTCCGCAATTTGTCTGAAATTTTTGCACAAGACTTCATCATTCATGGCAGCATGCACAAAAGTACACTTAACACACAGTCTGCAAGCTTGAGAGGCAGGAACAGTAGCAAAAGAGTAGCATGGAAGAACAGTGTGGGCTCCAGCATCTCTACTAGGAGAGACTATTTGTCAAAAGGTTGGAGTGGGTAGAGACACAGAGAGCAGAATAGAGCAAGCTGGAGAATGAAAACCACAATGACCTTACAGGCAGTTGTGAACAGTGGGTGTGCACACGTGAGGAAGCTCTCTTGATGCCTAGTGCAAGTTGTTCACGCAAATGTGGTGCACACACACACAGGTCAGAAAAGTGCATCAGATTCCCTGGAACTGCAGTTATAGATGGCTGTGAGACCTCGTGTGGCCTCTGGGAACTGAACCCGAGGTATTCTGCAAACAAATGTACACACAAAAATAACAAACATAAATGACCTCGGTCATTTTTCCATTCACTACTAATAATTCCAATTGACCTTAAGGAAATTAAAGATGTAGTCTTCCTGGGAAATACCAATTCTAAATCAAATCATGCATTTGTAGAAGGTTACGGAAAGGAAGCCCTTCTCAGAAAACCAAGCCTCGTCTGTGAAATGGCAGATAGCATCTCTAGTCTACACACTACCTGATCTTTAAAGATAGTGGTATACCAAGGTCTCTCCAGGACTTGGACTACGTACCTGACCATGCAGATAGAATGTGTCTTTCTTTTCATTGTGTTGATGGAAATGCAACACGACTGAGCATAAACTAAGACTTTCAAGAATGGAAATATGTCTTTTCATATACAAACTATCATAACTTTGAAGGTAAGAATCTATTAACGGGAAGTTCTGAATTGGTGGCAATGCATTTTGAATCCATTTAGACACACAGCATTTTAAGGACTTTTGCCATCAGTGAAACAAAGGTTACTATGAATCCTGCCATCTGAGTCTTCCCGGAGATAATGAGAAGCATCTACAGGACACTGAAACCAATGACTGATGTAAGTCTTGTTCTGAACTTGCAGTGGTGTAACTATTCTTTCTCTGTCCCACCTGTCAGCTCCCAAAAATCCAGGGAGACTTCGGTTAATTGTGAAGGCTTGCCTTAGCTAGGCTTGTTTCTAACTAGTTTTTATAGCTTAAATTACCTATATCTTTTAATCTATGTTCTTTTACATGGCTTGGTTACCTTTATTCTGTACTGCCCATTCTGTGTCCTCTATGTCTACCTGGTGCCCTGTTTTCTTCGTCTCTGAGTTCTCTCACTTCCCAGAAGTCCCGCCTAACCTCTAACCTCTAACCTCTTCCTGCCTAGCTATTGGCCATTCGGCTCTTTTCTAAACCAATCACAGAGGCCCATCTTCACACAGTGTAAAGGAATATCCCACAGCACAATGGCAGCATCCACATATATGCATTCTTAAAAAAAAAAAAAAAAAAAAAAAAAAAAACAAAAAAAAAACTCTAATTCACTACAGACTGCTCCCAACTAACAATCTCAGCTTCCGTGGGAAGGCTATCATAAATGGCCTTCCCAGAGAGTGAGATCAACAACTAACTTCTCCATGGAGCCCTCAACTAATGCCTGTTGAAAATAGAAGCAAACACCCATACATAAACACTGAGTCGAACTAGAACCCAGAAGCAGATGGAGAGGACAAGACCATGCGGTAGAAGCACATAGAGACAGCTTACCTGAACAAGGAGGAGCTAAGGGCCACTAGACTGATAGCTGGGAAGCCAGCAGGGGACTGACTCGGGCCCCCTGAATATGGGTCTCAGCCAGAAGGTCTGAGCAGTCTAAGAGACCTCAGACAGTGGAGCCAGGATGTATCCCTGGT